TAGGCAAAAATACGAATCGAATGACACCTTGGTCGAAATTTTTGGACAGGGCTGAAAAATGTCACCAAAAGAGCTAAATCGAGTACATGTGAACCAGACTATGAGATTGTTTCCGGTCAATACATACAAGATCAAGTACTTCATGATCCGTTAAGTTAACAGAAAAACGCGTTGCAGAAATAAAAGGAGTAGTAATATTTGCCTCTAGGATTCATACAGGTAGCTGACATAAAACTTAATAATCTGGGTCGACAGTTGGAGACTTCAGTTTTCATGTTGGAACCTCTTGAACTATTCGTGTATAATTATGGGGTGGAAAATTGTTGATTTTTTCCATTGTGAGTTCAAAACTGGAGTTTATGGCGTCGAAAGTCCAGGACTATTGGTCAAAAGAGGGCAAGCTTCACCTCACAGTGATAGATAGATAGATATATAAATAGATAGATAGTTTATAGATAGATAGTTTATTCGACTACGTATATGTAATAAACATTTGTAGCAAGTCGGGTGATAAGTCAAACATTCAAAATTGAATAATACCCGAATAAAATAAAAAAAACATTAACACAAGGCACCCAAAAGAGGACCGTTATTTTTTTGAATACACTATTATAAGCAGCACTGTATAACAAAATACAATAAATTTTGAAAGATATCATTACACGTACTTCCGCTTGAAAGATAAATCCGGGCATTACCATGGAAGCAGTCATAATATATTCATCTATACTATAAATGCCTTTATCAATGAGAAAATTTATTATGCCCTTTTTAAAACGTGTCTGTGATAAGTTCTTGACTGCAGTTGGCAAGATATTGTATAGATTAACATCTAAAGAATTCTTGGAAGATTTCTGCAGATTGAATTCAGCAGGTCGTATAAGATTAGCACCACGTGTTTCATAATTATTAAAGTGGGAGTGGGAAAAAATGCCCTTAATTTTAAGTAACTCCAGCAGTGACTGAAAAATGAAAATTGATGAAAGAGTCATGATTTCCAATTTTTTGAACAATGGATGACATGTGTCCCGATATTACGCATTAGAAATTATCCTTATTGCTTTGTTTTGTATTACAAATATCTTTCCAGCAGATGTATAATTACCCCAAAGGAGTGTCCCGTAGCTAATAAGCGAATAGAAAAAGGCATAATAGACAGCAAGAAGAGTGTCAATAGGAACGAATTTCCTCAACAAAAACAGATATTTGGATAATTTTGTATTCAATTCATCAATATGACATGTCCAATTTAGGGAGTCATCCGAAGTTATACCAAGTAATTGGGCTGTTTTACCTTCCAAAAGCATGTTATTGAAAAAAAATATCAGTATCTGGGTTTTCCCCATATTAAGGTTGAGAAGATTCGAATTGAACCATTTGTCAGCTTGGCTTTCAGCAAGTTTTTAGAGTTTCAATAAATTTTTGCAATTTTCGTCTGAGCAGACAATAGATGTGTCATCGGCATAAACAACACATTTATGGGGCAGAACTTGGAAGAAAAGGTCATTAATAAATATTATATATAGGAGAGATCCCAGCACAGATCCTTGCGTAACATCGTTTGCTATAGGCTCTAAATTAGACGTTTTATTGTCTCCTAGGTCGATATATTGCTTTCGATTTTGTAAATACAATCTGAGAAGGGAGAGAGCCACACCTCTAACCCCATTTTCATTCATTTAATGAAGTAGTAAGTGGTGAGAGACAGTCGAATGTTTAAAAACTAGAATGACCCTACTGATTTTTAATTTATCTGGAAATACTCCTTCACTTATGTGAGCATTGAACAAATAGGTAAGTGGTTCTACAATTAGATCGCAAATTGCCTCAATTATTTTACTCTTGAGAGTATAGATATCGACACAATTAGAGTTTTTTAATTCGTGAATAGCATTATAGACTTCAGAATTGATGAATACAAATGTCGTAAAACCCATAGTAAACGAGATATTGGCAATAAATATGTAAATAATCGATTTTTTGACTTTTGACCTTGGATTATCTGTATTCACGGACACCCTACGACTGGTATTTTTTGAGACAAGTTAGAAATGAAGGTTTGCACTGAATCATAGCTGACTATTTCCCATAACAAGGTCAATTTGCTGACGTATCTCTCATGCCGAAGTTAATATGGCTGTTTGTCTCTTATGCCGAGGTTGAAACTATATTATTCCCAGTGTACAAGTTATTTCAAAGAAAATATTAACTTGAAAAAGTTTCAGGTCTCTTTCAAAATGTAATATTGCAAAGTGGCGCAGCTATCAACACCATAGGATTTCAGGAAAATCCAGATAAATATGCTTTCAAACTTGGTAATATTTTGAATAATTCGCTTGATGTTATGGATTCAAAGAATTTGTTGGCTCTTTTAATGAATACCACAACAGATGAAATCTTGGCAGCTGCAGCTCAGGTGAGTAGAATAGTTGATGATTTTCCTTATGTTCGATTATCATGAAGTCAATCTCATCATGAACGATATGACATTCTAGTCGTAGATGAATTAGAGAAATGAAATAATAGCTTTCAATTTTCAAATTCAGATCCCATTTGACGGAAATGTCGACTATGTTGTATTGAAGGAATTGATTTGGTGTCCGATAATCGAAAGCAGCAACTTGCCCGATGCGTACATTTCAGAGCCAATGTACGATAATCTACAGAATGGGGAATTCAAAAATGTTTCAATTCTGATAGGTTTCACTGACGAGGAAGCGTTATCCTTCTTGCCAGGTAATATGGGCTTCATCAAATTTTATGTTCATTCTCGACATCAAATGGATCTCATTGAAGTTTCTTGTCTTTTTTTCATGAATGTGAATATTGTATGTGGATTTGACTTATAATGAAATTGCTTCAGGTATACCCCTCGAAGAAATTGCTCAATTGTTCGATTCTGATCCAAGTCTGATGGTAAATGATAAATTACATTTAGATGCCCATAACAGAAGTATTGTGGGAAATGAAATATGGAAACTTTATACTGAAAATACTCCATTTGCAAGAGACTTGGGTGCATTAGTTCGAGTAAGTAACGACTGCTCCTCCGCAATAATTTTTCTATGATCATTTCAATTTTAATATTAGTAAAGGTAGATGGAAAAGTATTGTTGGTATTGAGAAAGTTCTACTTGAACAAGCTGTCTTGAATTTGATATTGGAAGAGATTTATTGTATGGAATCACTACGTATTATAAAAAAAAAGTTAATTTTTGCTTTTCTCTATCTGAACGCAGTGAATACAAAAACTACCGAACGGATTTTCATACGGTTTGCCCTATTGGATGAAATGATTTCAGCAAAAGTTTTATGTGAATCAAGTGAAATATGTTGACTGAAACCGGTCATAGTCATCTTCTGATAATAGTAACTTTTTTAGCGAAACACGTTTCGAAAGACAGGACTTTGCTTCGCGTGAGAAAAAACGATTTTTCAATAATTTTTTTCACACCTGAGGTTCCATATCCCACTCATCAAACAACGTTTCCAAAAACAATTCATTGTAAGATTTTCTCTAAAGAGTTTTGCAAAAACGCAACACGTGTTTCGCCATACAGGGGCGTGTCTTTACTAACTATATTCTGAATATCCAATGCAGAATGTTAACAGATCTTCTGGTGAAAGAAGTAGTAGTAGTAGACTTCATTTTAGGAATCCTAATATGCAATATATAGGTATGCATATATGAATAATTTATATACGTATTTTGTATCGATTCAAATTCCTGCGAAAATTTTTTGATGATAAACATCTTAAAATTATTTATCATGCGCTAGTTGAATCTGGAATAACTTATAGTATAATTGGTTGGAATAGTGCACTGAAAGAGCATATTAAGAATCTGGAAGTGCTTCAAAGAACATTCCTGAAAATTACGCTGAAAAAACCAAATCGATACTCTTCAGAAACTATATTCCGAATCCAAGGTATTTGATATTCGACAACATTATTTTTTCAAAGCAACCTGCTTTGCATTCAAACACAAATCATACCTTTTCAAACTAGAATATACCTACGATACGAGAAGGAAGGCGGATAATTTTCAAAAGGCCGCCATACACTGCAATGTTGCCCGACAATTTTAACCTTGGCGAGTAAAATTGTGCGTGCAAAATTGTAGGGATGAAGCGTTCATACACTGCCAGGTCACAAAGCCAATTCGCAGGTAGTTTGGAGTTTCGACAGCGACACGATGAAACGAGCACATAAAGTGGCAGTGGCAGCGGCATTAGTGATAAAAAAGGCAAAATAGAAAAAAACAGACAATGGTAGTCCTGAATATTTCTTCTTATACAGAAACATTGTCAAGCACCTTCAAACAATCTTAGTTTCAACGTTACCACATTGTCGAGCTTCGCTCTTTGTCTATAAAAACAATTTTGTTATTATACTTCTTTGAAATCACCTTATTTTCAGTTTAACCATTTCAAATGTGTAACAATTTCACCGAGTTCGGGTTGAAAATCTGAAAAAAGAAGTTACCACAGTTACCTTCTCATGAGTGTAAATTTATAACATAAACATTAACATATTTTCTTTTTTATCTCCAACATGTTCAAACTGTGAGAACCCTAATAACTGTTCAATTCGTTGGTATTAAAATTAACAAATAAATATTTGGTTTATTTCCAAAAAAATGAACAATTCCTTTTATAAACATAGAAAATACCCCATATATTTTCATTATCACATGTTGTAAATGTTCGTGTTCTGTTAGTTCCTGATCACTTTCAATATTGGATTGGCTCTGACGCGAAACTTCTTGGTCCTCTAAAAACTGGAAATATGTAAAATACCACAAATGTGGCTCATATACTGCGTCACTTCCTACGCCGGATTTTTTGATATCTATTACTTTCTTCGTTTCTTTTCTTAGTGATCCTCTTATGGAATCTATTTTCTTTTTAACACTCTCCTCCGTCGCATCAGGGTCTACCTGCTGTACTTTCTTCTATACTGTACTTCTATATAACTCAATAAACTCTATTACAAAATCTTTGCTCCAAGCTCTTGTATTCATGTTTGAATTATTTTTGCTAGAAACACACCCTTTTTTGAAGAGTTTTCGCTGTCGATGAATGACGGTTAAGATTGCTATGCACACACGTCGACTTGCACGAACCTATTGGCACGTACGTGTAAAATTATGGTGGCGACCGTAATTCAAATTGCTGAATAAGATTGTCAGTACTTACGCCACACACTGCAATTTTGCACGCACAATTGTACTCGCCACGGTTAAAATTGTCGGGAAACATTGCAGTGTATGGCAGCCTTTAGAACAGCATGTCCCTCCAAGTTTGCCGCATGAAATAAAAAGGGTAAGGATATTTAACAAATTTATGAGAAATCTAAAAAATACTTACCGAACACAAAATGATCGGAAATACATAGGTTGATTGAATGTAACAGTTAATTTGTAATAGGAAATGAAATGAAAAAGGGTTATATATGTATATATAACAGGAAACATTCATTGATATTATGTAATAGAAATTGAACGATATGGTCATCACAGACAGTCACGACTTTGTGGGTACCGTTTTGTTTGCATAGCATATTACATTATCATTGATGTCATTTAGTTCCACGCACTATATATAAGTGTTAAATTTTCACTCCACTTTCTTAGATGTTTACCAAGTATCGGCCGATTCATCATACATTTATCAAACCCCATCAAAATTGCTTCGAAATATTCAAGACCTCTCTCAAGAAAACCTCAATTAGTGTACTACTTACCTATTTTTTGTTTGGGGCAGTATTCTCGAGATGAAGTTGTTATTAATCAACAGAGACATCTGCGTGTTGGAGAAACAACTTCCTGTGTTCTTCAGGTATTTCGATATTAGACCCGGCTAGGCATGGTTGCTGGAGACGAAAACTGTAGGTACGTTGAAATACAGACATATTTTTCACCACAGAAGCGGATGCCAGGCTCTGGTACGAATCTGTTACAGGCGAAATGGAAATCCAAATAAATGTCAAGTTGATGATTTCCAGGTTCGAGTAGTTCACGAACTTTCATAATTATGAGAAATCAAAATTTATTTTTCATCACTTTTATTTGTGACTGAAGGTACTGCAGTTTCGTCTAGTAGGGACGAAACTGAAAATGAATGATAACATTACCCTTGCAGATGATACCATAGGTACTCAATTTAATTGATTGACTGGTTTGAAGAACCTTTTATTCCTCGCTGTGGGCCGAATCAGGTTTTCAGAGTTTGATAAAACCAGTCTTACCATCTGACCTGAAAGATCACTCACCATATAAACCAATCAGCTTCGTCAAGAAGTGGCATTTAGACCACATGCAAGGTTATCTAATTTCTTTTTCGATGTCAAAGATGAAATGGACAAGATGGAGAAATCTAGAGTTTATAAGCTCAAGTGTCCGGAGTGTAATAGTGTTTATGTGGGGCAATGTGATCTAAATTCCTTAAAACGATATGATGAACTTGAAAGGTTCTTCATTCTTCAGGCTAGGTAAAAATGTTTCGACGTTTTCGAAGCATTCCTTGGAATGCAACCATCCCGAATCTGAACGACACGGAAATTTTGCACTATGTGAGCAAAAATTGGAATCTCATTTGGAATCCTCAGAAATTCGTGAGCTTCAACATCACGGGTGCAACCTGTTGAATGATCAAATCCATCTAGATTACCCGCCGGTTTTGAAATTAGCGTACCCACATTGTCACAGATAAACACAATTCAAATACTCAATTGAGTTAAGTACTTATGTTATCACCTACATATTGAGGACAACCAATCACAAATTGACAATGCTAACAGAACAGGGGTCTACAAACTAACATGCGAATCATACCCTAAAGTATATATGCAGGAAGAACTTCAAAAAATTTTAAATCTTTAAACGAGATTCACTGAACATAAAAAAAGTTCTGAACTGCAGAAGACCAATTGACCTTATGCGGGCCACCATTTGGAGAACGATCACGATTTCAACACTATGTGCGACATTCTTCATAACTAAGAAATTTGCGAAACCGTCTAGAAGTAAAAATGTGTATTAACTGTCAACTAAAAAAACACATCCATAATGTAGGGCTAGTAGACACACCTCTATGCAGGATGTGTGAACAGGAAGATGAAACTCTCAGGCAAGTCCTCTGCGAGTGTCCGGAGTTATCATCAATAAGAGAGTGTGTGTTCGGCGAGTCTTGGCCAACACCTTCCGATATAATGGAGATGTCTCCAAGAGACCTCTCCACCTTCCTGGAAAGGACAGGATGGATGATGACCTAGGATAACAACTCCTTGGGAGGATGTACAATGGGTCACATGTGGCCTAAGTGCCCACACTCACCCTCCCTACTGTACAGATACAGAAAAATGTTTGTGAAAATTGTGTAATTATCATCATGGACAGTGTTACTAATTTTCATCAAGAAACTAANGGAATAAATCTGTATTTATAGATTTTTCATTGAAAAATCCATGTTGCCACTCATAAATGATATTTTGAGTATGAAAATAAATTTTGTTGTATGTGATTTTCTCAAACAACTTTGCCGGTGCGCATATTATGGAAATTTCCCTATAATTAGTGATTTCGTTTTTGTCCCCGGATTTGTAAATGGGTACACATATGGCTGACTTCCAAATCATTGGAAACTCTTCCTTTTCAATTGCTAGAGCTAGATTATAAATGAATAGTAGTGGAGATTCCAACCATTCAGAACATGCTTTCAGTACATTTGGTGGTTTATGGTCAACTCCAGCAGATTTCTTTGGTTTCAATTTTTTTTACAGCTAATCGAAAATCCTGTTCGTCAATTGAGTTTAACCGAATTATATCGTTTGCGATACGACCTTCCGTGAATTTCTTATTATAATCTGATTTTTGTGCTGTATAGATGGATGAAAAATTTTGTGCAAAATCATGAGCAACTTGACTTGTCTGTATGTGAACACCATTTAAATAAAAGTTATCCCTTTTTGTACTATTATTAGATCTCTTTTTGTTGACAAATGTCCAAAATGCATTTACATCTGACGTAATATTAATTTCGGTTTGAGTTAAATATTGCTTATAACACTCCCTTATACTAGTTTCAACTATTTTTCTCATTTTTTGTCTCATTTTCAGTTTGCTTCTGATAGTTTGATTACCAGGGGTGTGATCCGTCATGCAGATATTACATCTCGATATGTTCCAACCTACCTGTATCAATATTCATACGGAGGAGACCGACAAAAAAAGAAGTTTCCTGGTGAGTTTCTTGGGATCAATAAATGATTGATTGATTGAATATTTATTCATGTCACTGATGAACTTTCAAAAATGACTCAAATATTGAGTCTACATCCAATATAATAAATCAGTTCGAGGTAAATCATCAGTGATAAGGGTACAACATTTTTATAAATGTGAAATATAGGAATATATTTTCAGGACAGATCAGTGTTTTGAAAGAAAATGAATGCCAAAAAGCTCTTCTCTCAAAAATCAAATAATGATTGAAATTGTGAAAAAAATTGCCTCATCTCTGATCACATGAAATAGTTCAACATAATTATTCATTTTGAAGTCGTGGTTCATTTTGATTCATGGTATAAGAAGCCATCCTAACAGAATTTTAAATAACAAACAAACGCAAACTGATGACAAATTATTTGAATTTTAGATACCGGAAATGTGGGCCATTCTTACGAGATGGTATACATTTGGGACGTAACTGGTTTTCCAGATGTGACAGAATTCGACAACGTTATGCGTCAGCGTACCCTAAAATTATGGACTAATTTCATTAAATATCAGTGAGTACCAATGAAAATTCAGCATATTACGTCAATTTGTATCCCCAATTGATATGAAGCGTTCTGTTGAAAGTAATAAGTGATTGCTTGAATTGGCTTCCAAGTTTTGTCGTGGTCTTCTCTGGTTGTGATCTCCAAACGTTTCAACTGCAACTGCGGCAGTCATCTTCACTGGCGTGGTCGAAGTAATCTTTTGACGTGTCAGTTGACACGTTGAGTCGGAGTCCTCTTGTTAACTATTAGTGTGAAGTTATCCACAACTTTTCATGACGAGGGACAATCGAACAGGGTTTAGAATGAGATTTGCGAACAGTGTTGCCAGATTGCAAATATTAAGAATTTCACTTGTATTTCGATGTTATCATTTTAAAAAACGATATATTATTGAAACATGTCGAATGAATGAGTCAGCATTCTACATAAACTCATTCTATCAGCCAACTGTCGCTATACAAACATTAATAGCGAAAAACTTGTAAAATAAGAGTATAATATTATTCAGAAAAAATTCTTTTTTACCGAAACAGGCAGCGTATGTGAACGGGAAAATTGGTTTCTCGGTAAAAATGTTATGACTTGTAAAAAGTATGTCATTTGAAATATCCTGCGATGAACAATACCGAATGCCCAGGAAAGACTCATCCACAAAATAACCAATTCCATATAAGTGTTCCTTATATCTTATTTTGATAGATCTTTGTTCATAATATTTTGCATCACAGTCCTCACATTTAATTTCGTAAATTCCAGACTTTTCCGAATTCTCGACTTCGTCTTTTGGATTTCCTAAAAGGCTCTGTAGAGTATGACTTGTTTTAAGGACTACTTTCATACCTATTTCTTCGGAAATTTTTCCAAAGATCTTCATGTATTGGTAGTATTCAACTGAGATATATTTATCTTGGTTTTCATCATTTTAAAAGTCGAGAATTCGTTCATTCCTGAACTAAACTTTTCGTTTCTTATTATATCATCTTTGATACCTTGTATTGATTGAATTCTCGCAATTTGTGGATGATAATTCTTGATATAAAAGACATATCGTAAAATCAATATGGAAAATGTTTTTTCAATACCGCGAGTATAGGAATCAACAATTCAATATCATCATACTCGTATATTTGATAAAAACTACCAATTCACATCAGTTTGGATAATTTGAATCAACAATTCAATATCATCATACTCGTATATTTGATAAAAACTACCAATTCACATCAGTTTGGATAATTTGAATCAACAATTCAATATCATCATACTCGTATATTTGATAAAAACTACCAATTCACATCAGTTTGGATAAGTCAAATTGTAGTGAAGTGTTATTGTCTGTCCGAGCAGGAGCTCAATAATTTTCAACTACCTCTTCGGTATTCTTTACAGAGAGTGGTAATATGATACTCCAACCATATTTTTCAGCATCTCAAGTTTTTCATTGAATTGATGATTTTTTTTTCAGGAATCCTACACCAGAGGACGACTCGTTGTTGCAGCATATGATCTGGCCAAAATTAGAACCAGACACATCAATATACTTGAATATCAATAATACATTCAGTTTCGGTTCTAACCCAAGAAAGTATAATGAAGTGAAAAATATATTCGATGAGTACATAACATCACCGTTAGCTACATACTGAAATACTAGAATGAAAAAAATAATAAATTGATTGTTGAATGAGGTGTCTCCTGCCAACATTCTGTATACGATATGTTGTTTTGACAGAAGGGAATGTCAATAAAGTTGTTTGAAAATACATCTTTAATTTTTTATCTGAAGTATAGTATATCACTGGAGTTCAATCTTCCTCTTGAAGATTGGTGATCGAAACACGTGTCGAGGTGTTGAAAATAACGATTTGGTGTTGGGAAAAACTCCAGTAATATTAATTACTACCCCAAAGGTTCCAAATAGTGCATCACAAGAATGAAGTATAGTATTTTCGAATTCATCGAATTCATCAAGCAATTGTTTATTTCCTTTGGTTCTTCTTCAATTTTTTTCCTAAAATAATCTGCGTCTGATACTTCTTGGCAGTTTTCATCCATATCGTTTTCAATATCATGTATCTTATTTTCATTATCGCCATCACAGTCCTCATTTTCTTCTATTTCCTCTACTTCAGATCCATTAGATCAACCTTGAATTTGTAAGTTATCATCGGTGCCCTCCAGAATTCTGTAAATCTCTTCACTGCTCATTTGAGCAATATTCAATGTTTTGCTGGACCTATAAATGACGTCAGCTTCTGATCACTACACAAAGCTACAGTCACATTTATAACCAAAAACGTGGATTTATACACAAAAATTGATGAAATACCTAATGATAAAATTAGTTACATCTTTAGGCGCACGGCATACGCAGTACGCCACTTTCGACCGATCGACCCAACATATCGGTTTTATGACTAGTCAGTAAATCACCAATCAGTTTCAATCACTCTAAGCGTAATGTCCATGTGCTGGTTAAATTGTTTCTATAGTTAACAGAAGTAATCCATATGAATGAAATACAAGAGACCGTTCAAAACGTTATATGAATAAATATGAACGCAAAACAAATAATTCCTATCGTTATATTAATTGCTAGTTCAATTTTCCTAGTATCTACCAGAACGGTGTGTATCAGTCGTTGATCATTTCCATATCTATCATAGTTTTGTAATCAACAGAACTGAATATCATATCTTCGTTCGTTAAAAGTTACTTTCGATCAGTTTGCTTATCCAGGAACAGAAAGCGCAGCGTCTGAATTTGTTGAAGCGCATTTTCACCAAACGAACAAAACCACAACAATTACAGCACCTGTATCGATTTTGATACAACAAAAACTTGAGTAGTCAAAACAGAAAACATTTTGAAGACTTTATGTCGCTGATGACTGTTTTTGTCAACAACGAAATGTCCCGTTAGCAGGTGGAAAGATTAGGTTTGTTCTGGTTCTCAGTTGGTACTGTTCAGTATTCAGTTGGGTGACTGTTTTCTGACTGTTAGGAACAGTCCGGGCAGAGAACCAGAACAATCCTATTGAAAGGTTTCGCTGTTTTGTCAGTGTTTTGTAAACATAGTTCAGTTTGTGGTAACTGTCAGCGACAACAAGTAACTATTCAAATATGACATACTTATCTGTAATTTGTATTCTGTTTGGAAATGTTTGGTCCCAGAACTTTTAGAAAGATTTCCAATTTCATAATTTGTATCACTTTCTTCTCTAATATATTCTTTAAGCACTTCAACAGATGAAGTTCCAAACCTTTCTTCTTCAAACGTGATTGAACTCATGCCCTCTATCGAAAGATGGTTTCAAAATGTGGAATCGCTTTTCACATTGAAAAAACAACTCATATGTTATTTCATCCTTTGGGAAAAGATTTTTCTCGTTTAGCTGATACTTGGTGGAAATCCATCTGATATTTGAGTAACATTTCCATTGAAGGATTTTCTCTGGACAGTGAATACGTCTGGGGAACTAATGCATAGTAAAACACGTATTGCTTTGGTCCAGTAAGAATCTCACAATGAAGTGTAATTCGAATACTATTCTGAACAGTTTTTGATAATTGTTGCAGTATCGTTTCATGAAAATATTATATTCATTAAATGTATTATAGATTGTAGCCCATCGTATCAGTGGAATGTTGATCTCAAGAAGAGTTGAGAATGAATTGTTTCTGTATTATGATGAAGCATGAAAACAAAATCTATAGAATAGAATAGAATAGTTTATTGGCTACGTGATACATTTGAACAAATATTTGTAACAAGTCAAAACACAAAAATTTATAAATATGACGTCATATATACAAATAAACTATCACAATGCTTGTATAACAGAACAGTGTACATAATAATGAAAACAATCAATCAACTAATGTTAAAAATGAGAACAATTGTTACTTACTCAAAGTCACATGAATTATCTATGTTGTATAACATGTATTCATCTGTAGAGTAAAAACAGTGATTCAGTTTTTGCTTGAAACAGTAGAAACTGAGTTGTTTTATGTGACATGGTAACTTATTATAGAATTTCAAATTCAATGAATTATTTTGTGAGGTGCTCAGTCTGAATCTTTCAGTTCTTATCAGATTTTCTGATCTTGTAGGATATTCATGTTGTTGCGATTGTAAAGTCTATTTTGATTTATTTTTATGAATTTTAATCAATGTTTCATATACAAAAGCTGTAGGGAGCGGCATAATTTTGAGATGAATAAAAAGTGGGCGACAATAATCTTTAAAGTTGGCATTAGATATTAGATGTATAACTCTTTTTTGCAATATAAAAATTTGTTTGGAATGACAAGGATCCCCCCACTACACTATGCCATATACCATGTGACTATGGAAGAGTCCGAAGTACGAAGATTTGACCGCTCTGATACCGGCGAAATCCTTCAGTCTACGAATCATAAATATTGCACTCGATAATTTCTTGGCCAGTTTGTCAACATGATATGACCAGTTCAATCTGTCGTCTATATGAACGCCCAGTAGCTTAACACTTTTACTCGAGGTTAAATACGTATTTGTGGAAATTATAAGATATTGATTTTTAGCCTCATTAAGGAGAAGTATATTTGGAACAAACCAGTTACTTGCAGACTTCATGGTGGCGTTGGCAGAAACACTCAAATCATTAACACTACCGTGACAGTCCACCAAAGTGGTATCATCCGCAGAAAAAAACATTTTTTAGGAAGTATGTGGTAGTACAGGTCATTTATATATATTATAAACAAGATTGGCCTCAGTACAGAACCCTGTGGCACACCATGTTTGACAGATTTCGAATTCGATTTAATCCCATGTAATGATACACACTGTGATCTATTGTGCAAATAGAATTCAAAGAATTTAAGGGACAGTCCGCGGATACCATAATAGGAAAGTTTCTTAAGCAGAATATTATGCGAAGCACAATCAAATGCCTTCGATAGATCGCACAACGTTATGAATGAATGTCTGCCCTCCTTAAAACCTATCACTATACTGGATATGATATTAAAAAAAGCATCGATTGTGGACTTACCCTTTCTATACGCAAATTGTCCAGGGCAGAAAAGAGAATTAGCTTCCAAGTATGCTATTAATCTGCTTTTGACAATTACCTCGATAACTTTTCCAAGTATAGGTTTTATTGAAATAGGTCGAAAGTTGTCAATAATATGAGGGTCTCCTTTTTTAAAAAGAGGTAGGACTACAGATATTTTTAATATTGCAGGAAAAACCCCATGAGAAAAACATTCATTTTTTAATAGGGATAATGGGTACGCAATCATATTGGCAATACTTTTGATGATTCTACTGTTAGCTCAAAATTGTCCGAACAATTGGAGTTCTTGAGAGACTGGATACTTTCCATTACTTCCCTCGTGGTCGTGGGGAACAATACGAAGGAGTTAAATGGTGTTTTAAGATTTTTCAAGAAATCTGTCGCTTCATAATTCACTACAGGAAGAAATGAAATGAGATAATCTACAATGTCAACAAAATAATCATTGAAGTCGTTCTCCGAATGCGGTGTATCAACCTTTCTTGAAGGACTCCTATTACATTCATAATTGATGATCCTCCAAGTATATCTACTGATATTTGGAGAACATATCAAAAAACTTTCATACGATTCTCGTTTTGCCAGTTGTATAGACTTTTTGTAATCTTTGCGTAATGTTTTGAAGATTTTTTCGGTTACCAAATCTTTCCTAGCATTTTGGACAACCCTGATGTTTGAGAGGATTTCCCTCTTATAGGGCAATTCATCACCGAACCAACTGACTGGAGGTCTTTGATCGCGATCATGGGAAGGGTGACCAGATAGTCAGTGCTGTGAAACTTTTCCAGACCAAAATGTAGATTTCAAAAAACTCACCTGGTGTTCATTGCTTGTAGCATATGAGGGAAAAAAAAATTTGTTTTCGAGGAATACAGGAAATATCGTAAAATATGATGTATCATGTATTTTCTTCGTTTTCTCGATGATAAATTGATTCATCATCAGAAAACATGTGATTACTTTATCGCTTATAACTGATGACATTTGAAAATTTTTCATTCAAAAAGTTCGATGCGTATGATTGTGTGTGATAATCTTAGGAATGAGAAGTTGAAGCTAATGAAACTACTGAAATGTTCTACATCTATGTTGACACGTAGGTAAATAGGCAGATATGAAATGTGAGTCTATATGCGTGTAAACTGCAACCCTCGATTGTTTCTTTTGTCTCACACCTATTTTAACCCAATGAAATGAAGCCAAATTTTCATTGCAACCTATCAAATTATATTATTGACATTCGAAATTTATTATTTGATGGAGTGCTATTGGAATATATGAGTACAAGTACATTAGGCTGACTATCCACATTGACAGAATATGTTAGTGAAAGTAGCTAATGGAAAAAAACACGTCTCAAATTTGAAGAGTATTTATTGAATGAATTTCGGACCCTATTGAAATGAATACTTTTGGAAGAATTAAACTATTGCACAAAAATGTTTTAATTATTTTAGCTCTTCTAGTCTACACTGATTTTCTTGAAGTTTCCATAAAATCCCAATTGTTCATCGTTTGTTAGTGGAGTGGGCCTCAAGTTTTCGTCAACACGTAATTTTTCCAAAAGGTCGAATCTTTCTTTGTGGTGAACGAATTTGAGTTTCCAAATCTCTGTAATGAACAAAATTGAGATTGGAAGGAAATTGTAGATAATGGTCAGATGATTTATCATATGAATTTTTGAGTATTGTAGAAAAATATCTATGTTAATATAAAAATAATTTTCGCGTATTCAGTAGTAGAATCAGCCATAACTGATACCTGTTGGTAGACTACAAAATTGCATTAGGCTTTGTTGAATCAACTAAAGGTTTTCATATCACAGAGATGAACCAAATACTATCATGATATGCCTCAACTATATATTTATGGTAACCTCCTTGACCATCAGGATGAGACAATATTGGTCAAGGAGTTTCAAGGGGAAAGGAATACATTTACTGCGAGTGAATGACTTGAACATTTTCCTGTGGGAAACTATTTTTCCTGCAAAGAGTTTAAATCGGAAAAATAATATGTGATTTGTATTTCATGAATTATAACTGATTAGATTCCATCTCAACATATAATGTCAAATCACGATTGAAAATAAATTTTTCAACTAATTATACGTGAAATGTTACTGAACCCCTTTTACCAAAATATAAACAATATTTGCTGAACTATTTACTCAAATATAAATTGGGTTACCATTCAATTCTTTCAATGATAATTCTTCTCCTCCATAATCCTTTGGCAATATCCTCACTGGGATGAAATTTTTCATGGTATCAACTTCTTTGTGGAACCGAAACTGAAAATGTAATACTAATGAATGAAATGAAATAAAAAATATATTCTGTGGGCATTTTACAATAAGACTCGAAAACTTGATAACATTTCCCATTCAGATCTACATATTCGCAATGTAAATTGAGACTCAATCTGTTGTCGAAGATAACTCCTAATTTGTTAATGTAAGCAGTTTGTTATCGAAGTAGTTTTGAGCGTATATAGAAATTTATGGAATAAGCTCAAACTTGAAAATGAAGAACATTACAAGAACGAAAGTTGATTTTTTTGGGAACAAACATAACTCATGTTAATTTTGTATTCCTGTTACCTTCATTGTATGATATATTTACATGGAAAACACAATGGAAGAATCATGCTCTTAACACCGAGAGAAAAATATATACAGTGTGGTACCTTTAACTGGAATAAATTCAGTAGAATTGTAGCAGAATGTTTCGTGCAAAATTCCTGAGACAGGTCGATTTTGTTTTCAAGAGAGATACATTTCTACATTCTAATGAACCAAATTACATGCATCCCTTACATAGGGTAGCTACCCCCTGAATTTTTTTGAACTTTTTAAAAAATTTTTGAGAGGATGCCTCACTTAACAGAGTTCCACAGAATAGAAATCTTAATGATGATTGGTTATGGAGAGAGACGTCGAACTCAAGACGAAGTTGTCGATTTGTTTAGACAGAAGAACCCAGATGTGCCACCTTTAAATCAAGTTGTCTCAGGAATTTTGCAAGAAACATTCTGCTACAATTCTACTGAATTTATTCCAGTTAAAGGTACCACACTGTATAACTAAGTCTGTACTCACCCTCTGTGCAAGTTTTGGTTTCACCATTTTCATAGATAAATTGATCACTGGTTCGGCAAATTTCGGATAATTGACACAATGCACCTGTTTCACATTATTATTGTATGTTTTCTGAAAAAGGACAAACATATTTTTCAGTTTTATGCAATAGTGGGAAGTTTCAAAATTTTCAAAAATAGAATAGAATTTATTCGTCATCAAAAATTTTGAAATTGCGTTACATTACGCTGATAAAATTTCATCAGGCTAGTCAAACTTGAATACTAGGCTATATATAAAATATAAATACATACATACGTGAATATATAATGCATAAAAAATAGTATATCACGAACCAATTACTCCCGAGCGAAAAATCGTATGCACAAGGCGTTATCTTAGTGTGATTATTCGCGACTGGACGTAATTGGCTCTATCCCCGAGGTGCGTACTATACTTTTTCCACGACTGATCAAAGAAAAAATGATACGATGTATCTATTCGAGATTATAGCTCTGGATAATAAACCCATTCAGTCGGTCATAAGGAAGTGACATCCGTTACTCTTGAGCTACTGTGGCGATTACCAATGTGATGTCTGATTGTAATATGAGTAGTAAACATATTTGATATTCACTTTATGAGTGAATGAATGAATTCGAAAAGTTTCATATAATATAATAATATCAAATACATGTGATCTGTAAATATTTTCAAATCCTTTTGCCTGGCTGTTATAGTTCATGGTAGTAGGCTTTGGTTGGAGGCGTCTGGCAATTGAAATGTGATTGGCTGTTGGCTGGTGATGTTGAATAATTCAGTTTTAAAATTCATGTTGTGTCTGAGTAATTCAAAAATTGTTTTAGAAAGTTCATGAAAAATAAATAGAAGGAAAAAGCGGAGTTGTGTTACCTTCGAAAACAAATATTTGCCATCTG